TAGGAAAATGTCACATAAAGTGACTGGACGTCCTGTGCATAATAATAATAAAAAGAAAAATACAGCGTCTTGTACTCCCAGTATAAGTTATGGTCAAATATAAAGTCGCATAACTCCCCCCCATATGTTCATACTCAAGGTATATACGTTCCAAGAGTTTTGGTGTGTAATCTCTTTCACTTTACGTTATTTTACATATTATTATACTTGGTGATGACTCTCAAACCGTTACACAATCAAACATTACACTTCATTCAAGCAATCACACATACCAATTTAATTCTTGAATAATTAGTGACCACATAAATTTAATAGTTGAACCCTTTTTAATATACCTCAGTATCAAAGACACCTTAAACGCATAATGTGTCGCAAATCCTATCCCTCGGTGTTAGAAACACCTTAAGTGCATATAAGCACCGCAATAAAATTTATTCCTGTGTACTGAGACACTTATTAGCTCAATTCTCATGCTTAAAGCATCAATAAAAATTATATGAACCATAATAAAATTCCTTTTCAATATTCCAAACCAAATTAAACACTTAGTTTAATTAAACATGCTCTCTATCATGCTAATAATAAAAGTGTGGTTCATATCCAATATGCCAATATAATTAATTCCAATCACCAATTTACCATAAATAATTCATACATCACAAATCATTCACCAACATTGATCCAATCAACAAATTCCAACCATCACCTATGATACTACTTGGAATTAATTAAGCAAAGCCTAGCATGCTTCTACATACTCAAATAAATACTAAGTACGCGAACGTACCTTGAATATGATCTCAAAATCGACACGACTAAATAAAATCACTCACTTGAAAGTCTCCTATAAACCAAACCTATAAAGAAGTATTAATACTTCTTCCACACAAATTTCCAGAAATATATACACTCTTTAAATCACTCATATACCCTCTAAAATGAACTGAAATTTAATTTAAAACCCTTACTTTTATTCCCAATTAGTGGGTAATTAAAAATCCTTTCAAGAAACATAATTATAGCTTGTATATAAAAATTTCAACATTATTAAAACTTATAAAATTATTGTAATTTAGTTTAAAAACATTAATTTCAAGAGTTTTAATCGGCCACAATCAAATTCCATCAATAAACATTAATTTAGAAACCTAGGGTTTTCAATTTGGGGATTTTTAATTAAAAACCAAATCTGAAAATTAATATACAAAATACTTATTATTAAAAATCCTAAAATCATCACAAAACCCAAAAACAATAATTAGATTAAGGTAGATTTAATTAAAAATCAAAAAGAAAGTTTTTTTTTTCTTGTAAACCACCAAGGTTGGCTGCTGCCGGCGAGTGCTAGTGGGGGTGGTCGCCGGCTAGTGGTGGCGTGTGGTGGTCGATCGGCGTGTGTGGTGGTGTGTGTGGGTGGTGATTCAATAATAAAATAAAATATATAAATTAAAGGGGAAGGAGAAAAATTAAGGGGACAAGAAAATAAGAGGAGAGAGAGAGTTTACCTTTGGGTGCACTCCACCTTAGGCATATGATGGGTATTTATACCCCCTCTCAATATCCCTCCTACTTAAAATTCCTTTACTACCCTTAATGATCTCTTTCCTAGTCAAACTAGTATTTTGACTTTCCTTAAATACCATTGACTTTAAAAATTATCTTTTTATAAAATAATATGCGCCAATATTTTTAAATCATAAAATAAAATATTTTCAAGATTATTAAATAATTAAAATAATAAAAACCATAAATAATTCATTTCGAATTATTTAAATACTTTAAAAAATACTTATTTAAATTAAAATATGTATAAAAATACGGGGTATTACACAAACGGTTACCCCAAAAATACACATTTTTGACTTTTACTCGCAAATTTATCCTTGTTTGTTTTCTGATTATGAGTAAAACACAAGTACCCAAAGGTACGAATATCATCAAATGAGGGTGATTTGTGGAATAGAACTTCAAAAGGAGTTTTATTTTGTTGAACCTCCTAGGACTACTCCTATCAACTACTACTGCAAAACCACATTGAATGTAATAATCTCTAAAGACAGACATGAAACGCTCTTTATCACTAAAGATCATCCAGGGCTTTAACACTATATTGCCAAACTCAAGATTAGACACAAAATCACCATTTTTGTACATCCTACTGAAATAAGTTTCATCTGCATAAAGACCTCTCTGCCAGCAGTCTGATGAGTATGGGTCATATGTGTCCTGAACATACCCAATTTCTTCTTCCTCTTCCATGTCATCTTCCGGTTGAGCATCCTCATTCATTTCATCGTCCAACTAATCACCCTCACCAATGTAATCCTCCAATACAGCACCCTCACCAATGTAATCTTCCAGCTCAGCTCCCTCATCCATATCATCTTCCACTCCAGCTCTAATAGTCTCACCAGTCTCATATGTTCTCCCAACTTGAGCATCCCTAGCCTCCAATCTTTTAACTGCTTTATTAAACTCACTCTCACTCACCACCATAGCATCAACCATGGGTTTATTGGTCTGGACAATCTTCTTCCTAGCAGCTGTAGTTCTTGGTATCTTGTGAAGGACAATACCAGAGTTACATTTCAAGTTTGAGGGTTTTTCTAAGGATGTGTCTGTTTATTTTTGAATCACAGGTGCATTTGAGAAGGTTGTTTGTGAGGGCATGGTTTCTTTATCATTATGTACGTGGAGCTTTCTCTTGACAGGTAGTTTCTTAGGTTTCACAGTTTTAGGTGCACTCTTTTTCTTCCTCTTCTGTTCACTCTCCTGCTCACCCTCATCAATGTCATTAACTGGTGCATGTTGTTGTAATTGCATCTCAACCCTAATATCATTCCATTACTCCTCATGATCATCAACTGGTGCATTTTTCTTAGGTGGGCTAGGACCAAAATGTACACTAGGGTTTTGTTTAAGCGTTTCAGCAAGCTTTCTAGCAGCAATTACACAGTCAATAGGCTTGTCAACACAACCAATCCAAATAGTAATCTCTTCCCTATCCTTTAATCTATCCAGCATTGACATTAAATCACTGTTAGAAGTTATCTTAACATCTTTCATGTTATAGCAGTATTGAAAGCTAGGGAATCTAGGAAACTCAAAATTCTTTTTGTTAAACCCTTCCTCACACTCAATGATCAAATCTATCCACATGACCTTGTCAATATCTTCTACAAATACTTCAATTACATTACCCATATACGCAAACTTTAGCATACACTAATCCATTCTGCAACATAACAACCAAACGCATATATTTTTAACATCAAACACCTACTAGCAAGCATAAAGACTTCATCTTTGTTCAACACGCACTCAGAGAAACAAAAACTAAGCATGAAACTTTCGCAATTATAAGAACAACTTGAAAAACCTAAAGTTTAAACGACATACCTTGCTTAAGGTCTGTATATCACTTCAGCAACCGCAAGAACTCCTCGATATTGCGATTTCCGTCAGAATTTCACCAACAAACCCTAAATTTCGAACCACAAAATTCACCACAAAACGAACAACCCCAACGAATTATTTCCTAACAATTGCTCAGCAATTTTGCCAATAAATCGTCAACCAACTGTAATTTATGCTTAGAATTCTTTAATCCCTCTTTCCCAGATCACAAATTCATGGAGGTTGAAGGAAGATGAAAGGTTTTGGGTTTTTTGATTGATGGCTGTCGAATTTACAGAAGAAGGAGATTGCCCATTAATGAGAAGGAAGGGGGAATTAATTTAATTAGGGGTAGGTTAGTCTTTTCCTGAAATATGGTAAAAAAACCGAACCATTTTGTAAATGGTTAGCCACTTAATGATAATTAGGCCACTATAATCAAATATGCAAAACCACGAGGTCACTACAGAGACTAAAAAAAAAGTTTGTCTTCCATGTGGAATTTTTGAAACCACGAGGCCACCAAATAGAATTTCCCTTATTTTTATGTAGAGGCAGCAACGAACAACACATAGTTGTCCTACTAAGAGCATGCACAATGGTGGGGATTCATGAATCCCTTAATTCTTCTCTCTCATTCTCTCCTTTTGACACATCATTTCTCTTTCTTCCACATCATTTTCCACTATCTCCATCCTCTTCCTCTTCCTCTTTCTTTATTTTTTCCCACAACAAAGGGGATTCATGAATCCCCTTCCTTTCTATTTTATGCCCCACCATCTTCTATTAAATTAGATATTTGCAAATTTAATATGACAAATTATTATAATTAGATTAATGACAATTTTAATATATTACAAAAATGTACAGTTAATGATGATTTAATATGCATAATTAGTAAATAGAACGGTCGTCACACATATAATAAATAGTTAGAAAAGAACATTGCAATACATTATGTAAAAAGACAATTCATGAAATTCGGAAACATAAAAATACATTAAAAGCCGATAATTGAAAAACGAGAAACTAAATCATAAATACGTTTTATTTTTAAGGTGAGTTGACAAAAGTGCTCCCAAACCTAGCCCATATATGTTCCAGCAAATCATTCTTCAAAGATGTATTAATTTGCTTATCACGAAGATTATCTCGTGTAGCCATCATTGTAGCTAAATTTTGATCTTTATAACGCCCAGGGGTAACGGTGAAAGTTGTTGCTCTTCTCCTTGATGATCCTGCTAGATTCTCAGGTTGTTCGGTGGAAAATTCCGTTGGATCCCAATAATTTATGTAATTATCGCGCTCATCTTCTACAATCATATTGTGCATGATAATACACGCCATCACAATTTTCCATAGCATTTCGACACTCCATGCCAAAGCCGGATGTCTAATTATTGCAAATCGAGCTTGTAGCACACCAAAAGCACGCTCAACATCTTTTCTAATACTCTCTTGTTTGATTGTAAACAACTTCTGTTTAGGGGTTTGTGGGAGGTAATAGCGGAAATAAATGTTGCCCATTTTGGATAAATCCCATCTGTGAGATAATATCCTTGGTTATAGGTATTTCCATTCATAGTGAAATTAACTTGTGGAGCTCAACCATTTAAAATATCGTCAAAGACGGGAGAACGTTGAAGAACGTTTATATCGTTGCATGTCCCTGGCGTGCCAAAAAAGGCATGCCAAATCCATAAATCCCAAGAAACAACAGCTTCTAAGATCACCGTCGCCCTTTTAGATCTACCTTGATATATTCCTTTCCATCCAACTGGACAATTTTTCCACTCCCAATGCATGCAATCGATGCTCCCCATCATGCCAGGAAAACCCCTTTCTTCCCCTTGTTTAAGGAGATGAACAAGATCTTCGGCGTTTGGCTTCCGCAAGTATTCTGTTGAGAATTCACGAATCACTCCATCAACAAAGTGTATAAGACATTCTCTTGCCGTACTTGCCCCAAGTTTTAGATACTCATCAATTTGATCAGTTGGGCAACCATATGCTAACATTCTCATTGTTGCAGTGCATTTTTTAATTCCAGAAGCACCCAGTCGCATTGTGGCATCTGGATGTTGTTGAAAAAATCTATCAGTTGCACTCAACGTATTCACTATCTTCATGAATAGAGGTTTTTGCATACGAAACCTACGTCGAAACTTTTCATCGCCGTATAATGGATGGTCACTAAAGTAGTCTGTAACTAACCGATCATGTGCTCCTTCACGATCTCTTGGAACGATCCACCTTGACATTTTTTCACGTCGTGAACCATGAACTTCTTGTTCTTGTACATCGGTGTTAACAACATATCTTATTGTATCCTCTATCACTTGTTGTTGTCGATTTTCCTCAATAAAATCTAACAACATGGAATCGTATATTTCATCACTAGAAGTAGAAGAACTAGAATCAAAATTCATTTTACGATTTTTTGATAATATTTGTGTAAAACTGAATGTTAATATTTGTATGAAAATGATAGAATTATATGTGAATGAAACTAGTCAGTATATAGACAATATGATCCACATGAATTAAGTAATAATGCAAGAGAATATTTTGGTAACACATTTCAAAATTTGAATTATGAGATGTCAGAAGATTAGATTTTTGCATGACAATAATCTATAGCTTTGCAGAGATATGTATGGCTTTACAGAAAAGTTGACATATGAAGTAGATGTATCAATGCATGAAGTGACTACACACTGAATTTTGTTTTTTGTTTTTTACCACTCCTAATAATAATAATAACAAATTAATAATAATAATAATAATAATAATAACAGTCATAATAATAGTAATTATAATAATAACTATTACAATATGATTAAACATATATTAAAAACATTAAAAAAATAAAAACTAATACATTAAAAAATTTAAACTAAATTCTGAAATAAATAAAACATTAAAAAAAACTAATACATTAAAAACATGAAATAATTAAAACATTAAAATAACATATAAGAAGAACAACTTCATAAGAACCTATTACTAAATTCCTCTCTAAGCTTCTTGTACATTTCTACCTCAAATTCATCAAGGGTAGGTTTCATCATCAACATATTTAACATTTTGAACTTCATCTCCTCTTCCTTTTGCCTTTTCCTTTCTTCATCTCACTCTCATATTAAGGCCATCATTCGTTCTCCTAGGTCATACCTCTTGTCACTACATTCTTCAAGAATTGTATTGAACGAATCAAGGTTTATAGATGAAGACGAAGAACCAGATTCCATTGCTAGTCTCTTCGTCTTTTTTTTTTCCATCTGGTCGAGTTCGTGGTTTTCCACCTTCAACAGTTGATGATTCTGGTTCAGATCGCTTTTCACTTCCTCCGCTTTCAGCAGGTAATTGCATGACCTCATTCGGATCCTACTTTTGAAATTTTTTCATAATTTCAAAACAATGTTGCAAATGGAAATGTTTACCTTTGTTCGCCATTACAAAAGCATTGTGTGCATGTTTTTCAACATCTGCATCTGATTGTCCACTCTTCGGATGTCGTATCTCGTAACTGTGTACCTCTACCCACTTGTTCACATTCGAATTAATGTGATCCCAACGTTGTTGTAAGGACTTAGTATTCCTCATCTTCTGGAGCTCATCAGGATTTGCAAGTCGTGCTTATTCGTACAATTTACAAGCTGCAACCCAAAATCCATCCTTAGTCCTTTTTGTATTTTTTGTAACATTTCCCCCGGCGTTGATGTAAGCCGAAACAAGTGCGTTATCCTCTGCTACACTCTATGAATTCCTCGGCATAGTCTCTCCAGGAGAAACTTCAACGACAACATCATCAAGATCCTCTAGATGTTGCGCTTCTCGTACCTCTTCAGTTGGAGTTGCGTTCGTGCTACCATCTCTTCCCGGAGAATGGTCCATAGGTTGGGTAAAATGTTGAGAATGGGAAATAATGGACTATCTTGAGAAAAATGTTGGTGATATTGGGTTGTATCATTTGGATTCATTGGTCTTGGTTGATTACCAAACCATTGTAAGGCTGCTTGAAATTGAGGATTATTGAGGATATTTGGATCAAAAGGAGGATTATTTGAATTATTTTGAGAGTTTGGAATATTTTGAAAATTCAAATTTCTTCTTAAATTTGGATTATTTCGATCCATATTGAAAGATAAAATATAATGACTTTAATTGAATATGAGTGAGATTAATAGGAAAAGGAGAGAAAATATGGAGAAAATGAAGATTTTGAAAATATGGCAAATTTAAGTTCATTTTATAGAGAAAAAAAATATAACCGTTGGTGTTTTTTTTTTAAAAAAAAAATAAGTTACCGTTTTTTTTATTACCATTTGAATAATTTTAACCGTTGTAAATGTCAACCAATTACAAAACAACAAATGGCAGCAAAAGCAAGCAACACGTGGGCCCCTGGCCAGCAGGAAGCTGCCACGTCGCTCTTGCTTGTCCCCTTCCCCACCTTTTCCAATCCCCTTCCCCATCTCTTATTCCTCTTCCCATGGAGGATTCACCTTCTTCCTCTTCCTAAGAGGATTCACCATTTCAACTCTACAATCAAGGGGATTCCTCTTAAGAGGAGAGAGAAGGCTAAGAGGAGGGTGAATCCCTACCATTGTGCATGCTCTAATACTTATACAATCTAAAGTTTTTAATGGAGTCAATCATACAATCTAAAGTATATATATATACGGGGAGGTTCCGCTAAAAACAGAGCTTATGGTGAAAACTAAAAACAAGCAATCTTAGCCATTGAATGTTCACTAGATAATCTGATGGTGTGAAACAACCTAGAGGTCACTATATACAAAAATAAGGTAATTATATCAAGTTATATTAATTTTGATGAAATTTACACCAAGGTCACTATATATAAAAATAAGGTAACTATATCAATTTTTACAATATTTACTTAGAGGTCACTATATACAAAAATAGGGTAATTATATCAATTTTGACCACATTTACATAAAGGTCACTATATACAAAAATAAGGTAATTATATCAATTTTGACCACATTTATTCAGAGGCCACTATATATAAAAATAACGAAGGTCACTCTATATAAAAATAAGGTAATTATATCAATTTTGACAACATTGACCACATTTATATATAAGTCACTGTTTACAAAAATAAGGTAACTATCATCAGATAACTTTTCCTTCTTCTCCTTGTCATCAGATAACTTCTCCTGCTCCTGCTTGTCATCAGATAATTTTGTAATAGCCAAATTGTGATTCTTCCAAGAACCATAAGCTATCCGATTCCAACGAATCAGCTTTCAGCTTCCAACAGTCTGTCAAAGCAAGCTTTTGAATCAGATATTATAAATTGTAGACAATTAAGAAATTATTGAAATAAGCAAATAATTACCGTGTTTTACATTTAAAAGCAAAAACAAAAACAAGGCAAAGATAATAACAAAATTTAGGATATCTAGTAATCTAGCATGCACTTATAGAATTAACGTATTATCCAAATCATTAAAATGGATTCGCATATGATATAGCATGAAACATAACAATTAAGTCTGCAGTTGCTCCAGTATATATAAAATACCAATTGACTTGGAAGTTAGGAGTGCTATAAAACAACAATAAACAGGTAGATAGTGCACTCAATCTTAGCAGCTAGGCCAAAAAATTCTAACACAGTAATAGACTTGGAACCTTTAAATATAACATGGTTGTTGTTTTTGTTGATTTAGAGTGAGCAGATATGTATGGGAACTTGAGGCAAAACTTAAAAGGATCCAGGGGAACAAGAGAACTCGAGTCAGTAAGTGTTTGTATCACCCATAAACTATTAGTCAGATCAAAGCTAAGCAATTTAACTATACAAGAGAAGAAATGTAGCTGGTTTTGTACTTCTGAATAGAAACACAGTGGAAGATAAATTCAAACTCAAAATAAAACTCAAAGCTACCAACTGTCTAAACTTAATTTTCACTTCAAATGCATATATTCAGCAAAGAGTACATGCCATACATAATTTCAAGTACTACATAGAAACCAACAATTAGATTTGACAAATAATCATTATAGTTTAACTAATATAAAATAGCATTCAGTAGAATAAAAATCATGCGTGTCATCAATTCCATATTAGCTAGACAAGATCACAGATGCTATTAAACAGATATTCAAGAGCTAATGCTAGCAATACAATAATCTGACCACACAAAAAGGCGTCAAAAGTAAGTGTAAGAGCACAAGGTAAAGAATTAAACTAGATTGCTCTAAACTTAAAGTAGGACTAGAATCATATGGGATCTGATAATCTGATGACATGAGTAGATAATAAGATATCCTAAAACATAAGTAGTCTGCATAGAAATTATGATTAGCTAATACATTTTCTGTACATAAATAGCAACTTGCATGCTCATGAATTCTAGGAACTTCATACAGAGCTTAGACAGAATAATTATTAATCCAAATTATGTTAGCAGATAGTCATAGTAAATAAAACAAGAAGATATGAAGTGTTATTTATATACTTTGAACATAAGAAGTACCAGTAACAACAAAAATGATTTATTTACTGCATGTTGGTCCGAAGATTGGAAGCAGGTACAAGAGTAGCAGTAATAGCCAGAAATCCCCTGGTACTATACAAACTGCTAATCAGATGGTCCCTTATGTTGGAGGCCAACACTCAAGACAAGTGGCCGACCTATCTATGGCACTATCTTATTCCTTCGGTAACAGAGGGAAACTCAAAAGATTAGACATTGCAAGCAGAGATGCAATGATGAATTTGTTGCAGAAAATAGGAAGGAGATCAATGCAACAAAGTCTTAATATCCAATGGCAATCGACAAACCAATTTCCAACCCTTACGCATCTCCACATTGATGAGATAGCAAAGGGAGCCCAAAAATTAACCAAAATTAACCAAAGAGAAACAAAATTCAACAGAAAATCAGACGAACAGACAAATCTAAAGCAAGACTAAGTTAGATCGAGCGAAACGAGCAGCATTTCGCATTAAAATCATGAAAAAAATTAATATAGTTAATCACCTAATATTATTAATTTCCAACAACTACACTATATATCAACCAAAAGCATCAAATATCGTAAAAACTTGAATTTGCAATCATAATATACCAATAATTGACAAGAAATGAGAAAGAAAAACATACAAATGCAAGCAACATTGGAGTATTTGAAGAACGAGTTTGAGAGAATTAGGGTTAAATTGTTTGACGAGTGAAAAATCGTGAAAGTTGTAGATCTTCTTCTACTTAGATATCTGTCTCATCTTTCGACACTTCCTCTTCAATCTCCTCATACGCTTCTTCTTCCACTACAAAAATCAATCAAATCAACAAGTGAACTTCAAATTAGTTAACAATGGTGGAAAAACTCGACTGAATCGAACAAATCACTGAAATTAAGGAAGAAACTAAAGTTAATTGATTAGTAA